CTCAGCGGGGAGTCTGCTTCTCCCTCTGACCCTCCCCCCTCTCATGTGCTCTCTCTCTCTGTCTCTCTCTCTCAAATAAATAAATAAAATCTTTAAAAATAAATAAATAAAATAAACTCTGATACATCCATAGATGATTAACTATGCAACCGTAAAAATGAGTAAGGGACAATGCAATGTGATGATATGGAATGATCTTTAGGATATATTGTTAAGTGAAAAACACAAGGAGCGGGAAAGTACGTTACTTTCTGAGTTAGAAGACAAGGAGGTAGTAAGAGCACTCACTCACATATCCCTATATTTTTAAAGAAACAACAACGGAAGTATAAACCAAAATAAATAAAAATGGTTACCTCTAGGCACAGGGAGAAAACAAGATGAAGGGGTGGGGATGGAAGGTAGACCTCTCTAAAAGTGCCTTGGTTCTTACTGTTTTGACTTTGGAGCCATGAGAATATTTTACAAAATTAAAACAAAGGAAAAAAAGTAAAGGTACCACATATAACTGCAGTATGACCGAACTGGACAAACCTTCTAAGGAGGCAGAACTTTCCAGACTTGTTCTGCTGAAATCAATTCCCTTAGTTCCTGAAGTGGCACTGCTCTCTTGGGAGGAAGTGGCTCCTTCCAACTCATGGCAAACATCTTCATCTGTTAAAGAGGTAGATTCAGAATCCTGGGCTCCCACTGAAGAAAGACTGGTACGATCAGAACTTTGATCCTAAGGACATAATTATAAGCTTAATTTCCTTCATATTTAAATTTAATTATTTAAAATGTCACTCCTAAGGCAGAGGAAATGCTTAATCACCGAGATGATCAGTTAATCAACATTATAACATCTACAGAAAGAAAACCAATTTTACATGGGCTACTAATTTGGACAAACAGGGGTGGGAAATCATTTAGATAGCATTTTTAGTTGGATCAAAGTAGAGATACCTGTTGGTAAGATACCCTTGCTGACTTTGAAGCTTCATTTACTGTTCATTTTCCTCTCTGTGAATCCCAGCCCAGGATGATACCATTAGAACTGCATTTTATTCTTTTAAAATTTCATGTATGTTTACATTTTATTATTTTCCATAATAATCTAGGTTTCAAAGACATGTATTTCCAGTTTTCATTTTTGAGAACACCAAAGTGTAAGTTAAATGTTTTTCTGGTTATACCAACAATACATTAAAAAAATCTGGTCAATATGAATTTTTGTATAAAGAAAAAAAAATTTAAGTATCTATAATTCTACTGCCCAGATAATACAACTTAATTTTTTCTAGTCATGTTGTGTGTGTGTGTTATTTTTAGGATTATTTGGATATTTATACTGGCTTTTCTGCTATATCTCATTGTATTTTTAAAAGTGGGTGCTCTAGGAATCATACACACCCGGTCATTTACAGTCTACTTAAAGTTAGTATTGTACCTCTTGGTATATAATAACATAACTATAATGAATATTGGCAGAATGGATCTCTTTATCACTGTAAAACATGTACATATATTGAATGTTCCATAAGATAATGTCATAATTTTTGTTTTGGGCAATTATTTAAGAGGTAAGAAAGTCTTTTATATTAACTATTTACCATGTTTTCTGTTCTTCCTTCATTCCTGCAGGTCCAGTTTTCTTTGTGGTATTATTTTTCTTCAGCCTGAAGAACTTCCTTTAGCATATCTCATATAACAGGTCTGCTGGCCAGGATTCTCTTCTTTTATCTGAAAATGCTTTCATTGCACCTTTCCCCCTGAAGAATATTTTCACTGGATATCGAATTCTGGGTTGACAGGTCTTTTAACAATTGCACGGTGTTGTTCCAGTGTATTCTTTCCTCCATGGGTTGTGGAAAAAATATATGGTTATTCAAATCCTTAGTCCTCTGTAGGTAATGTGTCATTTTTCTTTAACAGTTTTCAAGATTTTTTTTATTTTTTCCTCCCAGCAGCTATTTTATTAGCAGATGGATATCTTCGCTTTTTAGTAGTTTGCTTATGTGTGTGTAGATGTGGTTTTCTGTGAGTTTATCCTGTCTATAGTTTACTGAGCCTCTTGTATCTGTAAATCTATATCCTTCACCAAATTTGGGAAGTTATTTCTTATTTGTTTATTTCTCCATTTTTTATTTCTTCAGGTATCTTTTCTACCACAATCTTTTTCTCTAATACTTCTGGAACTCCAATTATATGTTACTCCTTTTGATACTGTCCCACAAATCTCTGAGGCTCTGTTCATTTTTGTAAAAAGTCTCTTCTCTCTCTGTTCTAATTGGATAATTTCTATTACTCAAGTCTTCAAGTTCATGGATTCTTTCCTCTATCTTCTCCATTCTGCTACTGAACCCATCCAATGACTTTATTTCAGAGGGTATTTTTTAGCATAAAACATGTTTTTTAAAATAGTTTCTATTTCTTGCTGATAATTCCTTCCTTTTCATTTATTTCAAATGTGTTTTTCTTTAACTTCAGGGAATCTAGCTATAATAGCTGCTTCAGAGTTTCTGTCAGGATAATTCCAACAACTGGGTTGTCTCAGGGTTGTCTTTCCCTTGAGAACGGGGTCACATTTTCCTGGTTCTTTATCAAGTCATTCTGGATTTTATTTTGGCACTCTGAATGTTATGTTGTGTGGTCTGGGTCCTGTTATAATCTCTTGGAGAACACTGATGCTTTTGTTATAGCAGGCTTTGTTACTGACCAAGTTATGTGCGGACTGTAATTTGTATTTCAATTTTTGTAGGCAGTGACTTAATTCTTAGTTTAGTCCTGTAAGACTCGTCTTTGCCGGTTCACCTTTATCCCATGTTATGTGTAGTTCAAGACTAGGCTGACACTCGTGCGGGCCATTCACAGAATCTGGGAATCCCCTTCTCTCAGATGCCCCTCAAACTCTCCAGCCCACAGATGCCCCCTTCTCTGGCTCCTCTGTCCAGGAACTAGGGTTTCTCTTGAAGTTTCAGCTGCCAGGGCTGCCACACCACACCGTGACGGGGACCTGCTCTTGGGGCAAAGATGCATGAGACAAGAAAAGGGGGAATTCACCTCTGTCTGCGTCCCTCCCCACAATCTGCCTGCTTCTTCAGAATCCTTAGATAGTTGTTTTTTTGCACTTTGTCTGGGGTTATTAGTTATAATCAGCAGGAGGGATGTGCTTTAGTGGCTTTATGTTCCCACAGTGGAGCTAGGATGCTCACCCTCATTTTTATTTTTTTTAAAGATTTATTTATTTATTCGAGAGAGCAAGCGCACACAACACACACACACACACACACACACACACACACACACACACGTGAGAGGGGCAGATGGAGAGAATCTTAAAGCAGACTCCCCGCTGAGCTCGGAGCCTGACCCCACAACCCTGAGATCATGACCTGAGCTGAAACCAAGAGTCCGACGATGCTCAACTGACTAAACCACCCAGGCGCCCCCTCACCCTCATTTTTAAAGATGATATTTGCTGGGTGTAGGAAAATAGAGTGGCAGTTATTGTCTTTCAGTGCTCTAAAGGTATCTTTCCAGGGTCTCCTGACATCAAAGTTTCTGTTCAGAAGACAAATGGCAGTTTCTTACTGTTGTTCCATTCGAAGGTAAGATAAGCTCTTTTCTCTGGCTCCTTTTAAGATTTCCTCTTTGTATTCCATTGCCATCTTTTTTAAAATTAGATGCATAATAAGTATGGTTTTCTTTGCATTTATTCTGCTTGACATTTGTAGATCTTCTAAATATGTAAGTTGCCATCTTTTATCACTTTGGGAAAATTTTTGGCAATTCACTTTTTAAATGTTCTTTCTATCTCATTCTGTCTTCTGGAACTCAATTACATCAGTGTTAGACATTTTCACTAATTCCCACATTCGTTTTTTTATTTTCCATTTGATTTCCAATCTGCTTCAAAGTGGATATTTTTTACTGAGTTTCCATCTAGTTTACAAACGTTCTTTTTCTGTGTTTTGTCTGCTGTTAAATCCAACTACTGCATTCTTAATTTCGTATCTTTTTCGGTTCTAGAATTTATACTTGATTCTTTTTAACAGATAATTATCTGGTGAAATTTTCTACCTTTGCAGCTGTTTTTCTTCAGCTTTCCCTTGATTTTCTTGAACATATTAAAATTATTTCAAAGTCTCTTGCTAATTTAAATACTTGGATCACCTGAACTTTTCTTCTGTTTTTTAGTTACGGTCCTGTCTCTTGGTATAGCTATTTTTAACTAAATAATATAAAAGATTATATATAAAAAATTATAAGGACTCCAGATGATATTCTGTTCCTCCAGAAAGGACACAGTCTTTCATGTGTTAGATAAAGGCTCATTATCTTCATCTAATCACAGGCTGAGCTGAGTCAAGCCTAGGTTGCTGTTTTGGTCAGGTGCAGTCCAACTCTGGTTTGCCAACGCTCCCAAGGCATGGCTCTGCGGGACTTCCAACAAAGGGCTTGGTGTGTTTACCAAAGCTCCCCCGGCTTCTACCCCCACCCCCCACCCTGGAATTTATGAACTCTTTGTGACTCTATTCCCAGCACCATGGAACTGCTGAAAACTCGAATTTGTCAGAGACTTTCTGCTTACCTTTTTAGCCTCCTGTCTTATGCAGTATCAGTACTAGGAAAATGTCCTGAAGGAAAAAAACTGGTGTATCTGAGGACCCTCAAGAGTCTCTGATTTTTGTCTCTCCAGCTCCACCAGATCCTAAAACTCTGTGTCCCCCTCACCTCTCCTCAGTCCTCTAAGGTAAAACCTGGATTTGCAGCCCTTTGCTCTGTGCTCAGAATCAACAAATGCCCTCAGGGGAAAGCAGCTGAGCACTTCCGGCTCCTCTCCGCGATTCACCGCTAGAATCTTGCACCTCTGCTTTCTAGGTGCTTTAGCAACTCTCTGATTACTTTAAACAGATACTTTGTATTTCATTTAGCTTTTTGCTCTTGGGAGATATGTATATAAGTCTATCGCAAGCTACTCCATCCTCACTAGGAGGAAAGGTCCTACGTCAGCCAGTAATTTTTGAAGGCATGCTGAACACTATCCGAAAAAAAAATCTGCACTTTGAAGGAAATAATAAAGCTCAGTAAGCATTTTCATATAACACTGATTTTTACTCCAGCTACAAATCATTTTCTTTAAAAACTGTACTATAAACATAACCTTAGTGAATTTTCATTACTTATTATTCAAGTTCAAATTCTGATATTTACAGACCTTATGCGTCCAAAGAGTCCTTTTTGGTAAAGCTGTGTTTAAGGAGCAAGGTAAAAACAGACATTTTTGCAAGGAAGGAACTTTCGGTGGTGGAGGACGGTAAAAGGGAAAGTAGAAAACTCGAAGAGAACTTACTTTAGATGATGTGGTATACATGGTGAATCTTGAATACCACTTGCTGGCTTTCTCTGCAACTCCTTTCCCAGCAGTGAACATACTGTTCCTTAGAACATCTAGTTTAGGTACCAGCAGTGTATCTAAATTAAATGAAGGTGATGAATGGGTTAATGCAGCTTGAGATTCTTCCCTGAATGGGCAAGAAGGTGAGAAGGCTGGAGAAGACCAGAGTCTGTCCCGTGGTCTCTCCTCAGTTTTTGTGTAACTTTTAGATTTGGTAAGTCTCATTAGCCTCGGAGAATGGGGAGGCAGGCTAGATCTTCTGCACGCCTTGACCAATGTTGGACTTTTCTTACTGGTTGATTTGTCATCACATGCCCGTTGTAAATCGATGCTTGGCGTGCGGCTTGTCAAAGGACTGCTCATGTTATTCATATACATCACAATCTCTTCCGCTAAGTCACGCCTGGCGGATGGTGTTGAAACGCTTTTGCTATCTTCGTCATCCTCTTCCTCCTCCTCTTTTTGCTGCTGTTCAGTCTCAGCAACCAAAAGAGAGAGGGGATCAAATCCTGTGGCAACGTCCGTTTTTGCAGAAGGTTTTACTGAAAAGCTGCTGCTCATACGCTGAATCCTCTTGGGGTTCTGTGAAGCAGTGTATCCCACTTTTGATCCATCTGTCTCACTGTCTAAGTCTTCCAAATCAAAAATAACTGGAGAATCCACTTTATCTGCCAAACAATTAGGACCATCGAAAGGTGTATCGTCATCACTAGATTCCTTTTCTAGACTGTCTCTTTTTGATCTTAAAGGTGGCTTTCCGATATCAAGACTAGTCGGTCTTGTGCTTTTTGAGATAACGTTTGAAAGAATTTTTGCATCAGCTCCTAGTTTTTCAACCATATCTCCAGGGCTTGCTTCCTGGTTGATTCTATTGAGCATAAGTCCCATCAGTACTCCGCCACTAAGATTGCGGTTTCTGCTTCCCCAGGAGAGTCGCTGCTGCAAATTCGGTTCATTTTCACTTTTATGTCTTTTCCTGAAGCACCTACTTTGACTGTTTCCTGTTTCATTTGTACCTTCAAAAGATGATAGTAAGAGCAACTCAGAGGTGCTTTCTGAAAAACAAGAGAGGTGTTTTTAGCCATGAAAAATGTAATGCGCAGATATAAGATGTCTTAAATATTTAAAATACTAGTAATGAAAATGATAAGAGCAAGTACTCGCTGAGTGCCTGCTATTTGACAGACACTATGACTAGGCATTTCACTCACATTGTCTACTGTAATCATGCCAACATCCTCATGGGTTGAGAAGAAACTGACGTTCAGGGGGATGAACTAGCTAGCCCAAAGGTACCCGCCCAGTCCTTAAGTGATGCAAGTGGGATTCAAACACAGACATGACTAACTATAAAGGGTATGCTCTGAGACAGAAGCTGTCTGTACTGTACTGCTTTTCAAAGCTTATAAATTAAGATTAATATTTACTTTTCTTGGAGTGGGAGATACAGGCTTTCAGCCAGAGAACAAGTAAGTCACGGGACTAAAAGGCATAGCACAGGGAATACGGTCAGTGATGCTGTGCTAGCAGTGTATGGGGACAGACGGTAGCTGCACCTGTGGCAAGCACGGTATACGGACAGAAGCTGAATCACTACACTGTACGCTGAAACTAATGGAACACCGTGTGTACTCAAAATTTTTTTTAAAAACGTACCTTTCTTATATTTAATAATAAATTTATATTAATTACACTAAATTGATTAGACAGTGGTTATACAATTGTGGTTGAACTAGATGACCCTGTGACTATGAGTCTTCTACCTATAAAAATGAAAAACAAAACCAAAAACCCTAAACCAAGCCAAATAAAAGGCAGCTATGTTAGCTTTATCCACATATAAACATTATTTTTAAAAACTCCAAATCCTATGACTATAGATGTGGCTGGCTAAATAATCTTACCCTTATTTTACATATGGTTTGCAAGTTTATACCAGTTAAATGTGAATGGCTATTTTCTACTCAGAAACCTTTCAGTGCTTTTTGCCAAATTACTCAGGTACCAATGCTGAAAGCAGAAAGCTAGATTCCTGATCACTTTAATTGTCCTTATTATGTGGGAGTCTTCTAAAGCATTAGTCTAGGTATGGTATTGTCAACTATTCTTTTTATATCCTTATCCAACAGAACTAGTGTGCTATAACAAGGTAATTCCTGCCATGTGATGCATTTAGGGACAGGATAGGACATAAAAGGGAATATTGGAGACCATAAAAGCCTACAAACTAATAATATAATAAGCATACATCATTAACAAGGAAAATAGCATAGCAGAAAGGTAAAGTCTATTCTTTGTTCCTTTATCACCTTATGACTAAAGGCATAAAAAGCCAAAAGTATACTTTCTTCTAAAATTCTGGGAAACCTTCTGCTTGACAGATTAAATATCATCAAAGACTTGGAGGAATCTTATAATCCTAAAACAGTACTCTGGGATTGAGTTTAAATAGCTGTGCAGGGGGTCCCCTTGCAAAGTCAAAACCATGTTACAGCTTGAAGACAAATAAAGCTGGTTATCATACTATACCAGGGGTTGGCAAACTATGCTTCTGAGCCAAATCTGGCCTGTGGACTGTTTTTGTACAGACTCAAATGGTTTTTACGTTTACAATCACATACCCACAAAGAACAGGTGACAGAATAGTATGTGGTCTGCATGGCCTAAAATACTACCTGGCCATTTACAGTGAAGTTAGTCCAATCCTAGGTTCATATACATGCTAATTCCAACAGACTATGCTGGATGCTGCATGCCTCTAACACAGAGCCACAAGCTATTTAAATTCCTTGAGGCAGGCGGTTCTATGACATGATTCTGGCCAGTAGTGTTAAAGTGGTAGTTTTTGAAGGTTTCTGGAAAAATTGTCCTTTCCTGATAGAAGGGGATAGATGTGGCTGGTGGCCCCCTTCCCCATCTTTTCTGCCTCACACAGACAGGTGATGCATGAGGTTGCCAGTGGTCCTATTATTAATACGGTTAGGTCCGGAGAACTGATGGCAAAACCCCTGAATTAACATCTTGAGTAATTGTTTACCTTCGATTTCTTATTTGAGGAAAAAACCCTTGACATGTGTAAGTGACTGCTAATCATATTTTCTCAGTCTTACAGCTGAAAGAATTCCTAGATGAAATACTAGCCCCTTTTCAGATTTAGAACATTCTATAATCCCTTCCTACAACATAGCCTTTCAGAGATTGCCTCCCTTTTCCTGGAATGCTCTCTCTCAATTCCTCCTTTGCAACCCCTATTCTTATTTGTTTCTGACGCAGACTTTAGATCTAAGCTCAAGAACCATATTCACCAAGGAAGTCTTCCCGGACCAACGTTCCCCAAACCCAGGACACATCTATTTATTATATGCTCTTGTAGAAACTTACAGCCCTTCTTCACAGTATTTAATCTCAGAGCATTTTTACATTTACCTGAGTATTTGATTAATACTTTCCCATCTCTCCTTCCTGCTTTCTCTATGAAGGTAGGGACCGGATTGTGTTTCTGTTTTTTTGTTTTGTTGTTCCTTATCATATCCCCAGAAACACCTGACATCCGGTTACATACAGCAGGAGCTCAAGAAATAATTACTGAGTGAACACTGTCTGCTGGGAAACAACTGCCACCAATAGACCAACCCAGAATATGACACAGGAGAGTGTACTATAATATGATATATCATAGCTAAATATGGCAGGTAAAGATAAAAAGTTAAACAGAAACCAGAATTCGGCTTAGAAAAACATCTCCGAGTAGGTTTTATTTCAGAGTAAATTTTCTTGTGGTTCAACTCTCAGTGATTCAATATACATTTATCAAAATGTCAAATTCTCAACATAATCATTAAGTAACCATAGGGTAATGATTTTATTTCAATATTCAGTTAAACATGAAAACATCTCTTTGGTTAAACCACTCCAATATCTTTTAGAAGCTATCAGATACATAGCTAGCTAGCTAGATACATGTATATGTACACACACATACACATATATATGAATATACAGTCATATAAAATATCTGTATATTGTACTGTAAAACATAAATCTAAAAAATGCTTTGAATCCTCACATGTACTAGTATATAAGAAAAAAGTTATTGAAAAATAAGTATTCCTATAAATCCCATATACAGTCTTGGGCAGAAGTGATAAACGCATAGAATTTAACAGATGGGAACGCTTTCAAGCCCAAAATCTTAAAGATGAACTAATAACTCTAATTCACACCCAGGAAACCTCTATTATAGGCCTTTAAAACCTGACTTGTTAAGCATAAAGGGTAACCAAAGCCAGATGATGAGTCAGATACTGATTACTATGGCAAAATGTCAGGATCAAAGGATGGTTTACAATCATATTAAAACAGAGAGGTCATAAAAGCAGATCTTCAGAAAAAGGCAAGCATTAATAGACAGTAATGAAAGAACAATAAGGCAAAGGCTACCAAAGGCAAGTTATTACAGGTTATAAGTAGACAATGACTAGGTTGTGAGGTAATTCCATGATCCCAAGAAAACAAATTTTAATATTTAAGTTATAACAATGACCCAAGAAAGAAATGCAAATTCAGATAGTTACAACTCATTTAACTTTTTTTTTTTTTTTGAGAGCCAGAGCAGGGGAGTCTGTACACTTTTTCTATCGAGAGCCACACAGTAAATGGTTTACTTTGCAGGCCATGCAGTCTCTTTGGCAACTACTCAGCCCTGCTGATGTACTGAAAAAGCAGCCAGACAGTATGAAAACAAATGAGTGTCGTTGTGCTTCAATAAACCTTTGTTTGTGAACCCTGAAGTTTGCCTTTCATGTAATTTTCATGTGTTACAAAATACTATTCTTCTTCTAATTTCTTCAATCGTTTAAATATGTAAAAACCGTTCCTAGCTCATGGGCTTGTACAAACACAGGTGGCAGGCCCTTCGTGGCCCACGGGCCATAGTTTGCCTACCCCTGAGCGGGAGGCATAGGTAACTATGCTGCAGAAGAACAAATGTCACTGTAGCAAGGCCATGTGTAAACAGAGATTGCAGCCTTGACAGCTCAATCCTTCAAGATGTGTTTAGATTATATGTGATACCGAATTGAGCTAATGCCAACATAAAATATCATATAAGCAGACTAGTAACACTAGAAACTTTGAACCTTATGTCTATTTAACCCCCCAAAAAATGATCTGATGAAAAATTAGTGAGACCAAGTATTATCTCAAATCCTAAACTGACTTTTCCATTAAGTAGTTGATAACTTACATGACCTGCCAACAGCCAGATTATGCCTTAGTTTTCTCATCAAAATAGTGCTAATATCCCCTCACGAATATAAGCATTGCTGCATTTGTAAACATAAAATAATATATAAAAAGCACTTTAAAAAAAGATTGTATTTATTCATTTTAGAGAGAGATACAGAGCATGAAGTGGAGGGGACAGGCAGAGGGAGAGGGAGAGAGAATCTCAAGCAGACTCCCTGCTGAGCGTGGAGCCTGACGCAGGCTTGATCCCACAACCCTGAGATCACGACCTGAGCTGATATCAAGAACTGGACGCCCAAATGACTGAGCCTCCCAGGTGCCCCAAAAAGCACTTTGAAAAGAAAAAATATTAGGTATTGTTATCTAAACTATCTTGAGAAATAGCCTTTTAGCTCTGGAAAAAATAGGAACAATAATGAAGATTAAAGAACTCTATGCTTCATTTAAAAATTGGGGGTGTAAGGTACCCTCAGATGGATCATCTCACCTGCTCTCATTTCCCCCTTTCAGAAGGTCCCAACAGTCTGAACTCAAGAGATGGTATGTGGCTTGTAGGTTTGTCCTTGTACTTTGTTATAACAAAAGCTTGAACAAAGTATACTATAAAATATAGAATTCAAGTTACTAAGCTATACAATGAGAGGCTACACAAATATATAAAAAAATAATCCTGGAGAATAGACTTTAAAAAATTCATTAGAAATACAGCTACAAGGGGCACCTGGGTGGCTCAGTCATTAAGCATCTGCCTTCAGCTCAGGTCATGATCTCAGAGTCCTGGGATCGAGCCCCACATC